AGCAGTCGAAGCTATGACAATCCTCCTATTTAATTCTGGCTGCCCGGTGCCATCGCTTGAGCCGAGATATTTAAATTATTCAAAATGCTGAACTGCTTCACATTCCTTTTCCACTTACGGCGTGACGCTTACAGCTCAATTACAGTTTTAATCCAGATCGTGATTACGCGAAAATGAAAAAGATAATGAATAAAAAAGAGGAAAAAGAAATTAAATATTAAAAAACAAAAAGTGCATTAATTGAATAACTCCGAAGAATGTCAGCAGATGTGGGCATATTGCTCAAAGTTGAAGTAGAATCCCAGAAAGCGAAAAAGAATAAATATATTGGAAGCGAAAATGGCAATGACGACATCTCCATGACATTAATGACTAATACAGGCTGCCATCAACGATGAGAATTTTCAAGAAAACTTTCAGATATAAATAAATGCTTTCACATTTAATTTACATCGATCGTTTTGTGGTGATGAATGGAGCATAAACGCACTGCAGTCAAGACGTTCACCATCAGCATGGCTACATAAGGAATAACTCATTCAAAATCCACTTCAAAACCCGGCAAGGAATTAAGCCCATGTTATTTCGGTGCTACAAGAAATGAGTGGTAAATCAATGGCCTGCGAATAATAGGGACAGCATGGAGATCATATCAGGTCATGCCAGATAAGATTATGCCAAGGGACCTTTGTGGCTGCACACCATCTTGACAAATTTGTTAGCTGACTGTAAAGTGTAATTCCAATGATTTATTATGTGGTGAAGCATAAAAATCAAATTATATTCACACGCCAGACCAAATCATGGAAAAGTCATCGGCAAAGCAAGGGATATGTGATCGAAGTAGAAAAACTTATACAGAGATTGCATTTTGCAGGGCAATAAAACGGACCATCGTGGCTAGGATCATCGTCAACCCCTAAAAACAGGATATTTGAACACGAATCCATGTTCTGGCACAATGGTTTCGAAACATTGTCAGACCGAACAATGTAGTCGTTGCAACAAACACTTTTGACATGATGACCGGCGGTGTTCTTTGATCAATAGGTTAGCAGCAAAATAAATTTAAAAGGTCACATGGGTCTCCTTTTTGTGCCAGTAACTACTGAGTCTTGTAATGACTGAGCAATGCCTTACTTCAGTAAGATTCACGAAGACATACGAGAGTCAAAACTGTTCAACGTGTGCTATCGGGGGAAGATTTTACGATCACACGGTTCGTGAAAAGTGGGGTGAAATCCTGCAGCAAACAGCAAGAAAAATGGATGATTCATACAATATTTGAGAAATGACATGCAACATGGAGTGTTGACGGTTTAAACCAAAACCACCAAAAGGCAACCGGAAGCAACAGGGCGGCAAAAATATGCCTGCCGTACAACTACCTGGTTTGCAGAACAGGTTAGGAGTCTGTTGAGAGAATCTGGCTAAAGAACTCAAGCTTTTCACAAGCGAAGTCACGAAGTGAAAGGTTAATGGAAAAAACCAATATCTGTTATGCAGATTGGATGGCTAGTATCTTGTGCCTCCTGCATAACAACAGTTTTAATATATGAATATTTGTTTTATGACACAAGATGGAACGAGACACCTCTAAAGAGATGCTTCAGTCGTGTTACGGACAGAAAGAAAGAATAAAGTCAAGAAATCGTTCACTTACTGAGAAGCAGTTGCCTGAGCCATCAACTAAAATATACGCTAAAATTCATGAAGAAAACGAAAGAGCAAAATTTGCAGTACCGGATTCGATTTATCCGTACTGCAGTGTTCGACTTCCTGAAAGAAGTTTTTGCCACATGACGAGGTTGCGAATTTGTTGCATATATCCTAGAGAACGCGGCACGTTTAGAAGCAGCATGTGAATAAATAATATAAGGACAACGTGTTCTACGTCCAAAAACATGTTGTTTAGACATACAGTTATCGAATTCATATATACAGCTATATAGAATACAGTTGTCGTTGATAATTCTAAATGTTTGGTACTACTGTAGCTAAAATCCGTTAAGGATTTACTCAGAATGCAAATTTCAATTAAAAGTCCCCACGATTCAGATCGATATGGATCCATCATCAGGAGTCGCGTAACAACAACTGAAAAAACACTGTCAGCAATTTTTGGCGTAAACACATTGAAAACAGGAGCAAAATAATGACCAGTGTTTAAATTATTACTGATTAATAGAACAAAGACACAGCGTTGGATTTCGAAGGTTTTGTAGGATTAAATAAAGAACTTCTTAAGGCTTTGAACCGTTTCTTCCATGGATTTATAGAAGGATAAGAAATTATGATTATTAATGAAATTTCACAATGTGCTGGAATACAGCACACAACACCTAACTCATATAAAATCACATTTCACTCCACCATCCTTTCATCTTCCATGGTGCTCAAAGACCATGGAGCTGTATTTTACAAAAATGTCCGCTAGACAAATACAAGCAAGGGAGCGGTGCTATGCGCTGTGAAATCTGGTATTGGAGAAACTATGCGTTAACATCGTTTGGCGTAGGAACATATTTTGAGGCATACACCATAAAACAGCATAACTATCATTTTAAAATTACCCCCTACACTTTGCGCTCACTTTTAGTCGGCAATCAGCGGGCGAATTGACCTACACAGGCAGCATAACCGCACGTCTTAGACGCTCTGGCAAGATGACGGCACCTTATTTTGTGACACTGCACCACGGCCAGTAGAAATCAAAGGCTGATTGCACTAAAGCTTGACCCAACGTTGCCTGCTGCAATCAGCGATACTTCCGCAGATCACGGAATCCGACGCGATGAAGAAGGCCCATGTGACAAAGCAGAGGCGTCAGCAGCAATCTATCACCTGACAGACCGATATTTTGAAGCTGTGTAAAGTTCAATGTTATAAGCTCCATTTCAAAACGACTGCCAACGCAAGATGCTCTGTATTTTTGGTGCATCGTTGGCATATCCAAACTATCTTTGACAGTTATGAATGTTACCATGTTACTATGGTTTGTTATGCTTTGCTTTATAATCTGTTTATAACGCGGGGTTTTGGCATTCCAACTGGTCTGGCACGGTTTTCTTCGTAGTTCTGCTTAGACTTAACTTTGTTCGTTTTAGCTGAAAAGTGCTGTGTTCTATGTTGTGTACCGTGCTTCAAAACAAGTTTCTTTGATGATCCTGTTGAAGCAGAAAGCTTTGAACTGGAACTATGAAACGAGTAATTTCGCCTGCCTTTCAGTCAGGACAAGTGCAAGAATTTTAGTCAGAGGAAGAACGTAAAAATCAAAGAGTATAACTGTGCAAGTTGCCTAAATTTCTCAGACCGTTGTTGCAATCCACTGAATAATTTTAGTACTGTTAATGCCGCTTGGACATTCATCGAATTTGCAAATATATTTGCATAATGCTGATAGAAACTCAGCCGTTTGGATGTATCTCATTCATAAAAATAATAAAACTCCTGCAAAATCGCACTGCTCCTGTTCCTGAAATGCAGCGTTCTTAAGATTAAGTTTTCTAGTATACGGTACAGAGTCAAAATGACGACGATACACATGTTTGACTTAGGAAATAAGGCCAAGCACAGTTTTACTGGCTTAAACTATTTCTCTAATAAATATCTCCATTCAAGTACTGTTCCCACTTTTCCCCATAGCAATCACGCCAAACAAAGAATGTCCTTGCGTTCCGATACCAGAGCTAAGGTCAACCACATCCAATCGCAATGAGGTTTACCACAGGATAATGCTGTTCCTCCTGTATAAGACGCAAAATAATTAAAAAAGGCAGAAGCTTATTATTGTACAAAACTTACAGTCTCAACGCCCATGACGCTGAGTTCCTTTACTGACACTATGCATAAAATTTTAGAGAAATATTGCACTGTGTTGATAGCAAACTTTTTTGCCTCGGGGAAAAATTTAATTTCTAATAATCTAACAATAATTTGTTGCTTTTTCTTCTACTTTTCTTATTCATATCGCTTTTCATCTCAAGTTTACCATTAGTGCTTTATTCGGTCAATTTTTTTTGAAATTCCTCCTTACGATTCTGAAACAAAAAGACCCCAGCCGACGTAAATTTAGAGTAATGCAAATTATTTTGAAAGAACTGTGGAAATAATTTCGAGTATTAAGAAGTTTACCTTTTATGACTACGTTGCTCTTACGTCACCTAAAACTTGTCTTCCATAATGTATGTACATCCTGAAGCTTGTGAACAACTAAAGTTATAAATTTATGGACATGATAGTATGATATCGAAGAACTGAGCGGCTCACACTGCGATACATTATCAAATAAAAACCCCACTGAATTGGAAACAACAGAAGTTGCTGAAGCTGATGCTTCGGAACCAGACAAGGAACTGCCATTTTAACACGAAGGAGATGACAATTGTGTTGCGTGAGATTTCTGCAGAAACTACACGTTTTGAGAAATTGGATCCCATGCCCCTGTTTATGCCATATTATATTACTTTGCACTGATAATTACATATTTAAATCTAATTTGTCCCTGCATTTTGCGAATGATACTGAGAGAAATAACCTTTACAACACGCTAATGCAATACCGCATACATGTAAGCAATAGGGTACGATCAACGGTGAGGGAGAAAAATCTGACACGTCATATTTGTATTATAGAGCTCAATGGAACAGAACTGTTATGTACTGCTCGGGGTCGCTATGTACGTAAAGAGCCAATTTATTCCAGTTCACACAGCATCATACATTACACTGTTACCAACCTAATCTCAAAATCATGTCTGTTCTCATTCGATTGCATAGCTTTCAAACCTCAGAAATACAGGTGTTTCTCCAAACACAGGTAATAACTATTGTTAATTAAAAATAATTTACATACCTTTATTTTTTCTGCACTTTGTGATTCTTTACTAGGATCTACCGCCAAAACGTGCATGAAATAGTCGGCCGGATTAAAATCTGTTGGACAAGCGTAGCCGATCGAAGAAAAGAACGTGATCGCGTTTGCTGTAGGACCTGAATATGCCAGCCGTCCTTCGGCCAAAAAATAGACACTGAAAATAATTGCTATTTGCATTAAATCACGCATGGTAAACAGGAAGACGAAAATAACGCTGTTTATGCAAATACAGAACATAATTAAATAAGACAAAAGAAAAAATGTTAGGCATATTCAGATAGATTATATTCAGTCACCTTTTCAAAACAAATATCGACAATATTTTAATTCCCCAGAGGAATTTGCTTTCTAACTGACCTTCTTACATAACGATTTCCCTAACGGACAAAAAGATGTGCGATTTTTGTCCAGCCGATTCCTTTAGAACTTTTGACAAACGTATATGTGCACCGTCATGGCTGAGGCATCTACACTATTTCTGCCGTTAGAATACAATTCGTCAGAACAGAGTTACGATTTATAGCTCTTCATCGCTAAGACAGGTTGCCAACAAGTCAAGTGTGAACATGTTCTTCAGAAAGACAACGAAATTGCTAACAAGCGTTAAGAAGGTTGCCTTAAAATATAAGCACTGGCATTTAATAAGAAGGCTAAGTGAGCATAGATATCGAGCTATCGGCACAAAACCACACAATAAAATAGGTGGTTCCGCATCTGATTCATAAATAAACTGAAGATTATTCAAGTGTAGCATAACGTCATTAACTCAATCCGAAGGGTAGCAGGAGGTTGAGGCATTTTACTCGACAGAAGTTATTGCAATGTTCCACAGTCCATGTCCGATGTCCCTGTCTTGCAAAGACAATCAGTTAAGCTACAGGATCTCATGACAAAGAAAAAGAAAAATACGGAGTATACATTTCTGAGCTGGTAAAGGTTGCCAAGGTTGCCATAAACATTAGATGACCGGTGCTCTGATAACAGGAACAGATCATTCACTGTACTTTTCTAAAGCACTTCCGTTTGGAGGACATTCAGACTACAAATCTCGACAGGATAGTTTCGAAGATACTCTGCATTATTCTCATAAGGAAGCATGATGTAACATTTCCATCGTGGCGCATTACCTTCTGGATAGCCTGATAACATGAACAACACGGAAGATTCTGATTAACTTTCATGGATGATACTACGAACAGGAGTACAATTAACACGAATTGGCCATTTTTGCCAACTTACATGTAATCCCCATGAAATCTACAGTATATTCATTTATACCGTCTTAACGGAAGATGACTACCATCATACCGTTTCAATTTGTGTCCTATCACTGCATGATGAACGCAATAGATGGAATTACATGGATGCTGGCGGCAGGCATAATATACTTCCATAAACTAGTTTAACGGTATTAAACTTTTACTGGCGCATACGGCCTAATAGTAACTTTTCACTAGAATGTTATGCTAGTTTTCCTGCATAAGATCTGAAAGAATACCGATAACTAAAAAAACGCACACGAAAACTGAATTTTCATATACAGGTATGTCTGGCGGGGCTGGATTTTCTCCATGCGGTATTTAAAATTACTTTACACTTCGGTTTGTATTTAAGTTTAAATGCATTTCGGCTTATTTGAAAGTTAAAGCTACACAATCGATTAATAGTAAAACAGCCTGCACTTACTAGTTAAACATTGAATAGACCATAGATGGTGGCTGGTGTATCGTGCACAGAATGGTCTTTCCCTTCGACGCTAAGCGGTAGAGCACGTTAACCACGCTTTCAGCCATAAACGAGTCAAGACCTGTAGTCGGCTCATCGCAAAACAGGATCGGAGGATCGGTTAAAATATAAAATCAGTGATACGGTTGTGGATAAGCTCTTCAGCCATTTCAAGTGCATACCTCTGAGGCAAACGACAATCGTTTCGATTCACCGCCAGAAATACCCTTTTTTTGTCCCGGTACTCCAATGATTGTGTCTTCGCAGTCTTTTAAACCAAGCTGAAAAGTAGTAACACAAATATTAGAATAAGGACAACAATTAGACAGTGAAAGATTCGTAAAAATACCTCAAGTAGAGTACATAATTTAAAAAAACACGAAACGATCATTCCAAACAATAACAGCAGCATAGCTTTGGCTGCAACACTACCGATTCCTTCAAGCATAAATACATAGACCGATAAGCCTAAAGTGCTAAAGGAATTCTTTCTATATCCAAGGTTCCCACGCCTGAGGGCATACTTGTTTCATTACCGTTTACTCGGCTTCTGTCATTACCGATAACCACTTACAGCAGTCAGTATTGTCCCTAAGCGATAGCTAAGAATGAGATAGTTTTGAGGAACAAGCAAGCAAGCAAGCAACAAATATCTGAACGACTCTAAATGACTTCCAAAATCTTTCGTAATAATGACAAATATAATGGTAGCTGAAAAGCAGTTATGGAGAAAGTCAAACATAACATTTTCTCTACTAGGTCACAGAGCATTAGTAAATGCACATTAATTCTATCCTAAATCTATTGTACCACCCACAGCGTCTTGTGTTCTCATAAATGCAGATACTACAATGGAAAATTATTGAAAGCGTGTTAGTCAGTCAGTCAATTTTCATGACCGCTGATTATTTTGGGTCGCGAAGGCAATGTCTCTAACGTTCCTGACCCAGTACCAGCATTTGAGCATATGCAAAAAATAGCCTGAGTCTGGAGTAAAGTCCTTAGAGAATTTTGTCCAATGTTATTCTTGGCCATCCCCTGGGTCTTCAGCCGGCTAGTTGAGCAGAGCAGTGGCAACACGACATGCAGCTACTGTACAAAAAAGATCTCTAGAATATCTGAGCTCCTGACCATGTCGCGTAAGCTAAGCGATTCGTTTCATAAAGCCTGTCTCAGCCGCTTTTACCCGGGATCTAAGTTATTCCGTCATCGCCCATGATTCATGATCATAGGTAAGCATGGGGAAGAATACGACTTGAATGCAGAGAGACGGTTCAGGTTAGTTCATGCAGGACGTTACCGACATTCCCAATTGTCTGATGGATCTGCTACTCCCATTTGCCATCACCGTTGAGCACTATGCCAAGGTATTACATTTTATTTAGTTCCAGTTTTCATTAATTCATATTCTCCATTGTTGGTAGCTTTAATTGTAGATTCTGACTTAGGCGTAGCTAAATGTTCCGACTGACGACGTATGGACCGAAACTTTGCGCAACGTCGTTTTGGGAATCCACGTAATGAGGGAGATACTCTTTGCACTTCACCGCTTAATGCTATCAACTCAACGTCATTTACGTTCTCTTTCCTCCTAGTCCATTTCCAATCGTCTGCTGCTCAGATGACAGGTTGCACTTGCTTGTGTAGGAATTATTAAGAACAGTATAGCAGACCGTCTTGGCATTCAGGACAAGACTTCGTGGTTACCTTAATTTCTCCCACTTTGGCCTGCAATGAAATTTCATGCTTGTTCAATGCCAATGTTGCATCATGAAGGAGATATTGCCGAATATGTGTGCCATAATTCCCTTACTTTCTCCTCTCACATAAATGGTTCCAGACATTGCAAGCTGCATTTGGGAATCAGAAGCTTTCGAACTTGCTCTGCTCAAAAGAACTTGTAATCACATCAAACTTAGTCTGCTTTCACCAAGTCATCCTGTCTTAGCTATCTGATCTTAACGTTTTGCTGAAGAGTGAAATTTTTCATCAGAGTTTAGGGAACAAACCGCTGTTATCACATTCTACTCTTGCTTAGCTGTTTACAGTGGAATTTAAGGAAGTACCGTTCCATTAATAAAACAAGCTTTGCCTAATTTAACTCACGCCTCTACTCTCAAAAGAACAGGTGTTTGCTCATCCTTTCAATCACAGACATCGTAACATCTCGTCATCAAAGGAACGGAAAGACATTAAGACCGCGACGCATCGTTTTCGTCGAGAAACGATTCAACTCCTCAGTTGCTGAGAAACGTGTCAATTGAGTCAAAAAGGAGAAACACTTAGCACCGACTTCAGAGTCGCAAATTTCACAAATGAGAAATCTATGATAGTTTGTAATGTTAAAATGTTGCATTGCTTACACTTTTATGACAGAATGATTCAGACCCCTTCCTTTCATGAAGTCAACGGTGGTGAGCTGATTTCTATTTCTGTGTCGTCGTAATAGTCGGTATAAACTACGTGACCTCTATATAAATCTTGTTTCACTTGAAAATCGAGTGACCCTGACCGGAGCTCAAAGCGGAGATTCCTGTTTTCAGTACGACCCTCTATCAGCTGAGTAACTCTGGTTTCAAGCAATGTGTGGTAAATTCCTTCCTCAGAATCTGAGGAAAAAACAAAGATTTATCTCCACCGGCATCCAGCACGACACCTTCAGAGTTCGAAGTCGGCCGCTTAAGCTTTGTGTCACCACAAATAAAACAGACAATGAGGATACAGGAAAACCGTTGCTAAGTGAACACAAAAATTACTTCTGCAAGCGAATCAGATCGAAATGCATTAGTCAAGTCGCCCTAAGAAAATGATATTTGCGATAAAGAGCAGAATCTTTAGGTAAATTCAAACGGAAATCGTCACTTCTATCTCCAGAAGATATTCAGTAAACATTGAGGACTAAGTTATTACCTTTTTGATCTAACAAGGACTGCGGTGAAGAGCTATCAAAGATAGTGACAGGCACCTGCGGTTTTGGAAAGGCTAGCAAAACGTTAATCTATTCTTTGGTCAGAGGTTTATATATATTTTTCAGTTTTACTGCACGTATAGCAGAAATTGAAAGTAACGTATTTCAAAATATTCGAAATCCTCTTAGTAATTATATCACATAATGGAACTATTGTACAAAAAGTCTTCGGAGTCTCGGCTCATATTTGATGAAATAATCTTCTTCATTTAGTATAATCTAGCTCCCTCTCGATCGAACACGTATGAAGAATATTATAAACTAATTATACGGTGTCATCCATTATCAAGCAGCGTTTACATGCAAAAAATAACAATTCTAAGAGGCGGAATCGAAAACTAACAGTTTATTAGCAAATCGTTAATTGTCGGGTCTACTTTTACGTAAATGGTACAAGACTATGGATAGTGACATTTCGGTGGGTGTGTGAAGAGGTTATTATTCAGCCACACAAGGAGATGCGGCTACGCACCCATGCACTGCAGGTGCTATAATATCATGGATTGCTTAAATGGTCACCTAGGCCAGTAGAAGCAAGGGTACAGCGCGCCTACTTGTAAATGAAAAAAACCTGAAAGAAAAACATTATTTTAGAAATAATGTTAATAAATTATCTTATAATTTTATGCATTTGCAAAGGGTAAAAAGCAAACTTTCCAGATCAAGAACTTTATCCACTCTGAACAGCTTATCTTGCTTTGACATATCCTTCGGTAGCCTCAACAATGCCTAAAACGAAAAATTGAAAACTAGACTAGAAAACGTACCACAATCGAAGTCAAAGTTTTACCTGAAACGTGAGATGCTCCTTGACGGTTAAGG